CCTTTAACACACTTTACTGTGTTCTGATTGGCGCGCACTCTGACGTCTAATGCTGGCTAAGTTTTATTTTTCATTGGGTTTTCCATGTGACATTCGGTAATTTTACAACCAACGGACGTTAAACTCCTTTATATTTATTATTTATCTTACTAAATCAAGACTACAAAATATTATTTGATGAACAATCTTTTCACATGTGTGTATTGCCATTGATGACATCGTTTTTTGACATTTTAAATGAGGTAAAATAATTCTAAATGAAAAATAAGCTAGGCCTAGGCTAATTAAAAAAAATAATACAGAAGTACAAACAAGTCTGTCGTGGACAGCGAGTGGAAGAGGAGACTCCCATGAAGTCAAGTGTACGTTTTTCTTATTGAAAAACAGTTCCATACTTTAAATTATCGGTCTAAAAAAACTGTGTTTAGTTCGCTAGCTGGGTGGGTAACCTCTGTCTCTTATACACATCTAGATGTGTATAAGAGACAGGGTTGGCTTCGCGTAGCCTTGCTTAGATTGTTTATATCAGGCTACGAAGCCTGCGCGCAGGTTAGATTGTTTATATCAGGCTACGATGTATCTACGAAGCCTGCGCGCAGGTAAAAGTGCAATATTTCACGACTGTACTGTAGATATAGCTGGTTCAAAAAAAAAAAAAAAAACCCATTTCAGGGCTGGAAATTAACTTTTTTTCTTGGTAGCACTGCTAAAATTTTCTGGCACTCCCCAAAAAAATTTGGTAGCACAAGTAATTTTTTTAGTAGCACATTCCCTATCCTTTTCGCATCCCCTACGATATAAGCACGGCGCAATATTTTATATACTTCCTAACAAACCCCCACCCACCCACACCTACACTGTCCCCATGGATTATTATGCAAGAAAGAAGACATGAAAGAAAAAGAGAAGAGATTTTTAAAAATTTAAAAAAAAATTAAAAAAAAAAAAAAGAAAAATAATAAATAAGAAATAACAAAAGGATGGAGAGAAAAAAAAAAGAAAGAAGTAAAATGGTGGAAAGAAAATGACAATGAAAAAACTAAAATAAAGGTAAGTATCAAAAATAAGAAAAAACCTGATGAAACAATATTAAAAAGAAAATAGATATTAAAGGGATAGTAAAGAAAAAAGATGCAAGGTAAACAAATTCAACCTAACTGGAAGGAAAGGGAAAGTATTTCAAGGAAAGTTTCAATTGTTAGGAATATTTCTAAGAAAATTACAAATTTCTGTTAATTATTAACAGGTATACACAATATAAAAAAGAAAAACATGAGCAGTAATAATGTGCTAGCTAAACTGTCTAGTCAATGGACTGCAAAAATCTGCAGTTAATGTGTTGCAGTGGATTGATACAATATATTGATTATAAAATTATTTATTATTATTACTGAAACATTAATTATATTTTCTGTATACTTCCTTTAAATTTTTCTGTATTTTTCTTCATTTGTGCAGGAAATTTCGAGAAAATAGGTCCACAGAATTGCATTAATACTGCGAATGCCTATACATTGGTTACAATAGCTACCGGCCGACTTTACTGCAACATTTGTGCGGAAATTGGCAGACTTATTTTGAATATGCGTGGATGGAATTTTATCTTTATGAAATAACTCTAAATCAATTTACACATAATAATTTCAACCGAAACAGAGTTCCAGAGTTTTCACCAACATTTCGGGAGTGCTGAGATTCCAGCTCCCCACTTGTCAAAGGCCATTTAGGCTTCGTTTTAAGCCCGCAAAAATTGGCATTTTCACACAGCCGGCCGGTGACACTTCTTAGGTTATAATGTAGCCTACAACATTACTGTAGGCCTGGGCCTGTGCAACTTCAACAAAGTATCTTATACCTACATATTTAATGATCTACAGTTTCATTTTCTTGTTCAATTGTTGTTTTTATTGAGAATTATAAAAAAAAAAAAAAAAAAACTGGTACGCCTTCTAACTTTGAAACTTCAGTGTTAATCGCCAGAGAACATCGTCACACGTTCTAGTGTTTACAAAGGTTTCGCGGAATAACATATCCCAAACATTGCAAGTTGCCCTGAATGATGTAATATCCCAACATTCTGATTGGTTTACAACTTGCAGTGGACTCAACTTACCTTACTCACCAGCCAGTGTAGTCGGGCGCACACATGGTTTGGGATGTTACTCCACGAAATATAGTTTCGTAATTGGAAGGCCTACTACCAGTTAGTTCGGTTTAACTGATGTTGTTTTTGTTGTTACGTTTATTTTGTTGTTGTCAAAACAAGAAACATTCCTTGTAGAATTATATATCTTTTTATATATTTTATAGATTAAATTAACCAATTAATTCAATTGTTGCACTTTATTAATTCCACGTTTAAAATTTAATCTTTAAATATTCATTTATATACAATTCAATTTTTATATTATTTCAAAACACGATTAAACAATCATTTTGCTTACCTTCTGCTGATACTTTGTTAAGAACGAAATAAATTGTTTGATAGAGGCCCATTACTAGTTGCCTATGAAATAACAATGCTACTACATTCAGTGAGAAACGTTCCCAATTCCAGGCTCAGCCTGGTAGACACAGACACCAAGGTTACCAGACACAAAGTCATTAGACTCTTTGTACGCCGCCGATACGAACAAAAGTAGGTCAGAAGCCGACTGGCTCGTTCAGTAAATAAATGGTAGTAAAGCAGTTTTCTATATTATTTTATTTAATTAGGATTCAAAATTTGCTGTGAGACCTATTTGTTTGTTTGTTTTTTTGTAAATTTCAAGATTGAAGATGCATGTTGTTAAACTATCATAGCTGCTCCGTTAAGTCTGGCTGAGGTTATCATCAAAGAGTATTATACCATTTGTTATCATCAGCCATGTGATTGAAGAAACGTAATCTTATTTCATAATGTATGAGGTTTAGGTAATTCGTTTGGTTTTCAATAAAAGATGTCTGCCTTAATACCGGTAGTACTTTGAATATAATCATTCAGATGATGCCTAATTGTATTTATTTACAATCTATTTAGTATTTAAATTTTGATTATTGCTTGATGCTGGGTCGTTTACATCGTATGAGTCAATACTGTATACGATCGTTTGAAATTTCAGTACATAATCTATTTTATGAACAACTACATTAAGGAAACGTTTGGAGGAAAACCACCTTCCTGCCGCTTACAAAATCTACTCGCGCTATCAAATGACCATGTCGCACTGAGCACGACAAAGTTGAATTCCTTGTCGCACCTTAAAAAGTCAGGTCGCAAATGCGACCAAATAATCCTTAATTTCCAGACCTGCATTTTATGATGTATAAGTAGAGATACAGTACACTATAATACTGTAATTTAGAGTTAAAGCATGGCTATGTGGATTGCTCATTAATACTATAATGTGATTTCAAATGGTATAAAGCGCAGATATAAATCAAACCAGGGACCAAACTATATTACATTACATTTATACAATCAAATCAAATAAAAATAACTTTAAAACAACTTACATTATATCTGAAAACATCTTCTGGTACCAGTTGCGAACCATCATTCGGGTTTATCATAAGTAAGTGTATTCCTGACATGGTTGGTGGTCTTGATTCCAAAAGCCTGTTGAGAAAAAAAAAATTAAGACAGTTTATAATAAGAGGCCTGCATATATGAGCTAGTCCACACCTCAAGTGCTATAATTTTCGATTTTTTATTATTATTATTATTATTATTTATTAGTCTTAGTATTATCATCTTAATATTAGTAATTTAAAAAGTTATTGTTATTGGTGTTTAGATGTTCTTGGTTGGTAAATAATTGTTTACATTTCTGTTCCTCGGCAGTTCTGGGCGTGTTAGTATCACACTTTTATCTACAGCACTGCTTCATTCAAAAGACACCTGATGGTTTTTCTTACAATTAGTTGTCACATCTAATCATTTAATACAAGTTACTTTTAATTTTTTCTGCTTGAATAGGATAGGCTAGTCAGATACCAGCATCACTGCAGCTTTTGTGAGTCATGAACTGGCAAGGCCTCACCTGTGGGGGTTTCAATTTGCTAATAATAAACAATGCGGTGATGCTGGTTTCTTTGACCGTTTCTGTTGTCATTATCTTTATCATTATCATTATCCAGGATATTTCATGGGTTAGATTTTGTGAATTACTTTTCTGTCTTAATCTCAAGCACATTTAAAAGCATAATTTAAAAGTGGATGTAATGTCAAACCGTATTTTTATTATTGACATCGTCATTAAAAAAAACAGATCTAGTAAATAACTTCAATACATTCTCACATATTTCTTAAAATGTACAGTAACATACAAAATTTCATGTTTAAATAATGTGTACTTTTAGCCATGTACCAGATGAGAAAGTGTGGTTTTGCCAATTAACTTCTACTTTAGGTAATTATAAACCAATAACCCACTAGCTGCTATTAAAAAATCAATTAACGTGGCAAATGCTATATTAAAATGCTTGTTAAAAAAGTGGGATGTTCTGATTACCAAACTGCGAGTGGCAGTACTACACACTATAGCCCATTGTCGAACTAGGGCTATCCAAATGCACGTGGCAGTACCTCGTATAACCCAGACGCTACTTGGGTTGTCAAAAGACTTTGACAACTGATTTTTTTTGGCATAAATTGTGTACTACTGTACACTGCAAGTTTCTTTTCTTGAAATTACAATTATCTTGAAAATTCATGTTTGTCTTCATATCAGAAATTTCAAGCATGCTTCATATTGCTGACAACGCTGCATGCTAATAAAATTCCATAAATTTAGTAACAAAGTGTAAACAATAAAATGTTACTGTAACACAATGGAGGGTTTAGGCTGGCCAAAAAAGATTCAACTGTCAGCACTCAAAATTAGCACTGGCCCAAGCCAAATAGTATGTAGTTTAATCATTAAACACATTACAGTATTAAATTATCGTGATAACTTTTCAAATAAAAGGATATTTAAATGAGCTGGAAATATTTGTGTTCTTTTCATTTTATTCACATCATTTGTTGAATTGAACACACTTGACAATGTACAGTACGATACTACAACCAGGCCTAAGCCTACACCAAAACATGGAGGTTCCCTGCTAAAACTAGCACTCAATTACCAAGAAATCAAAACGATTTAAGGCCTAAGCCTGTATTGTTGTATAATAGTCATTCATCACAAAGTAAATAACATTTTAATGTTTTCATTCAAACACAAGTCAACTCGGCCGCAAGTCAACTCGACCGCAAGTCAACTCGGCCGCAAGTCAACTCGGCCGCAAGTCAACTCGGCCGGAAGTCAACTCGGCCACAAAAAGTTTGGCTACAGTCAACTCGGCCACAAGTCAACTTGGCCACAAGTCAACTCGGCCACAAGTCATTTACTGGTACTACACTTTGAAAGATCGGCCGCAAGTCAACTCGGCCGCAAGTCAACTCGGCCGCAAGTCAACTCGGCCGCAAGTCAACTCGGCCGCAAGTCAACTCGGCCGCAAGTCAACTCGGCCGCAAGTCAACTCGGCCGCAAGTCAACTCGGCCGCAAGTCAACTCGGCCGCAAGTCAACTCGGCCGCAAGTCAACTCGGCCGCAAGTCAACTCGGCCGCAAGTCAACTCGGCCGCAAGTCAACTCGGCCGCAAGTCAACTCGGCCGCAAGTCAACTCGGCCGCAAGTCAACTCGGCCGCAAGTCAACTCGGCCGCAAGTCAACTCGGCCGCAAGTCAACTCGGCCGCAAGTCAACTCGGCCGCAAGTCAACTCGGCCGCAAGTCAACTCGGCCGCAAGTCAACTCGGCCGCAAGTCAACTCGGCCGCAAGTCAACTCGGCCGCAAGTCAACTCGGCCGCAAGTCAACTCGGCCGCAAGTCAACTTGGCCGCAAGTCAACTCGGCCGCAAGTCAACTCGGCCACAAAAAGTTTGGCTACAGTCAACTCGGCCACAAGTCAACTTGGCCACAAGTCAACTCGGCCACAAGTCAACTCGGCCACAAGTCATTTACTGGTACTACACTTTGAAAGAGTATTGCTATACTTATTGTTATTATTATTTCTGTTATTATTGTTGTTGTTTTTATTACCGTTAGTTTTACAGTAATATTAATTATTAGTCTTAGCATTAACATTATATATTGTTCAAATTTTTGCTGATATTATTATTATTACCATAAAAATAATAAATAATTTTCGATTTTTTATTATTATTATTATTATTTATTAGTCTTAGTATTATTATCTTAATATTAGTAATTTAAAAAGTTATTGTTATTGGTGTTTTATTTGTACTTTTCTCATATTATTATTATTATTAATATTATTGTTGTTGTTGTTGTTACCTTTATTATCGATATTATTACCTTATTATTACTAAGTAGGCCTAGTATTATAAGTATCATTATTATTATTATTACTAATTAGTATTACTATTACTGTATTATAAAAATAAACATTATCTTTAATTTATTATTGTTTTATTATTGCTATTATCACCTTCAATATCGTTATTATCACTAATTAGTATTTATGTTAAAATAGATAATTAAATATCGTTATTATTACCATACTGTACTAGTATTATTAATATTAGTATTGTTAAAATAAATATTACTATTAATGTTGTTGTTGTTATCGCCTATATTATCGTCAAAATGACTAATTAGTATTATTAAAGTAAATATTACTAATTTATTGTCGTTATTGTTTGTTTAATATTATTGTTGAAGTAGAATGTTGTGAGTAAAGAGAAGACGAACACATTAATAAATAACTCTTTTTAATTCATAGCATTCAAATCTCTTTTGGTAGTGTGGTGGTCCTGTTTTACTAAAATATACTGTGTACTTTATTTCAATCGTATATTGAAGAAAAAGAATGCAAAAACCGAGATTTACATTTGATTTTAATTATAAATAACTTGTGGCCGAGTTGACTTGTGGCCGAGTTGGCTGTAGCCAAATTTTTTGTGGCCTAGTTGATTTGTGGCCGAGTTGACTTGTGGCCGAGTTGACCTGCACCCGGCTAATGACTGACTAGGCCTAGGCCAAGGGCCTAGCCTAAGTAGCAGGTACGGCACAACATTATGATGATTTAACCTACTATAGGCCTACCTACCTAGGACCTAGGCCTGCTGGGGCTGAATACATGTCAAACCGTACCCATGCCAACCCGTACCCACAAACCATACCCAAATTTTAGCCAACCCGTACCCACAATTTTGGTAAATCCGTACCCATGTGTGGTCAACCCGTACACAGCGTAGACGAACCCGTACCCAAGTTTGATGAAAAATATTATTTACTATATAGAACATTACACAAATTATATTTGCCTATTTAGATATTAATCATATTAAACCGTATTATGAACACCTAACTTACCGATTAGAAGATATATTACTCTTGATAGAATGCATTCAATCAAGAAATTTATGATCGCTGAAGAAGCCGAAACACGCAAGTTGGGGCGCTACATATTATGGCTCCATTTGTGGTGTCGTTATTTGTTTCTACAATGTTTTACAATGTAGGGTCTACATAAATACAATACAATAAATATATATAAGTAAATATATAATAAAGAAATAAAGAATAGGCCCAAAGGCAAAAGAAAAGAAAAATTAAAACCAGAGAAAATTAAAAATAATTTGAAAATTATGAGAAAAGAGAAAAAAAGAACATTAATATTAATAAAGAATAGGCCCAGAGGAAAACAAAACGAAGCAGAGAAAATTAAAACTAATTGAAAATTATGAGAAAAGAGAAAAAAAGAACACTATAAAGAATAGGCCCAGAGCAAAAGAAAACTTACCTTAATATTAGCGGCAACGACAATCTTACAGACTGCACGAGATCGTACAGATACAAATATCTTTTGGGTACGGGTTGACCAAAATGACGTGTGTACGGGTTGACCAACGCGGGTACGGATTGACCTAAATTTGAGTACGGGTTGACCAAAGTGGGTACGGGTTGGTATGGGTACGGGTTTGTTTGGGTACGGATGGACCGACACCGGCTGGGGCTAGGCTAGCCTTGCTTGCCTAAATGGAATAAATATTGGGGTTATTTCCCCAAATATAGTAGCAAAACCAGGTGATTTGCGAATAAGCGACCCAAAAAGGAAACAGCTCACTCAGGAGGGACGAAACCACCCGGAACCCACCCGTGTGTGTGCTTGTGGTCGAAAAGTGGTGGTAGGCTACTTACGCGGCTGAAAGACTGCAAAAACAGGAAGATGGTGGTACATGTAGCCTAGAAAATCCTTAGTAAAGTACACAAACTACTGCTCTGTTGTTAGGTAATTGTATCTACCAGTCTTACTGAGCTGTACTCTGTAACATTTTGTACCTAGAAACAGGTCCAAAGTCTCCAGATTTGGGCGATTGATAAACATCATGATCTGGAATTTCCAAATTCTAAATAAAGTACAAACAAAAATCCCTAAACATCGTTGATCGATCAATGATAATAGACCTACATATGGGACGCCTTTAGTGCAATCTTAAACATAACATCATAAATCATCAGAAATCACATTGTATGTAGTTATCGGTAGGTCCTTTCAACATCAGGAGTTTATTAATTAATTTTATGTAGTTATTATTATTATCACCAATAATAAGGTAAATCCATAGAGCTATTGGGTAAATCATAACGCAATCCTATGAAGAACGCAACGCGACGACGCATGCGCAACTATTCGTTTTTTTTAATGACGATGATCCGTCAGACGACCACCGACGATCAGCAGACGGCATCGCGTCGTCCAGCGCTCCGATCCCAAGCGGAGTTGAATTCGTGCGACGGTCGTACGACGCAGTGAATGCCCGGCTTTAACTGTAATACATTTGCTGTATTCTTTTTTTGCATAGACCTTTAACTTGGCTCTGATAACTAGGCTAATTTTGTAAAAAAACGTAAATCACATTGTATGTAGTTATCGGAAGGTCCTTTCAACATCAGGACTTAGTTTATTAATTAATTTTATGTAGATATTATTATTATTATCAGGGCCGGCGGAACGTTTTTTAAAGTGTGGGGGGGGGGCACTTATAAGATGAATGGGAATATGAATCATGCAGATCGGTAATCAAACCTAGGTGGTGGGGTCAACATTCCTCCCCCGGGAAAATTTAGATTTCTAGATGGCTGGAAATGACCTTTCTCGACTTTTG